GATTTCCAAATATTGAAGCATTCCTGCATTCCTGGGATAAAGCCTACTTGATTATGATGGATGATTGTTTTGATATATTCTTGGATTTGATTTGTGAGAATTTTATTGAGTGTTTTTGCATCGATATTCATAAGGGAGATTGGTCTGAAGTTCTCTTTCTTTGTTGGGTCTTTGTGAGGTTTAGGTATGAGCGTGATTGTGGCTTCATAGAACAAGACATATGCTCCACTATGTTCATAGCAGCCTTATTTATAATAGCTAGAAACTGGAAAGAACCCAAATGTCTTTCAACAGGGGAATGAACACAAAAAAATGTGGTACATTTACACAATGGAGTATTACTCAGCAATTAAAAACAATGAATTCGAGAAATCCTAGGTAAATGGATGGAACTAGAAAATATCATCCTGAGTGAGGTAACCTAATCACAAAAGAACACACATGGTATTCACTCACTGATTATTGGGTATTAGCCCAGAAGCTCGCAATACCCAAGATTCAACTCACAGACCACATGAAGCTTATGAAGAAGGAAGACCAAGTGTGGGTGCTTTGGTCCTTCTTAGAAGGAGTAACAAAGTACTCAAGGGAGCAAATATGGAGACAAAGTGAGGGACAGAAACTGAAGGAGGGGCCATCTGGAGACTGCTCTACCTGAGTATCCATCCCATGTGTAGTCACCAAAGGCAGACACTGATGTGGATGCCAGGAAGTGCATGCCGACAGGAGCCTGATATAACTGTCTCCTTAGAGGTCTACCAGACCCTGACATATACAGAGGTGGGTGCTCACAGCTAACCATTGAACTGATCATGGGATTCCCAATGGAGAAGTTAGAGAGAAGACTGAAGGAGCTGAAGGGGTTTGTGGCCCCATGGGGAGAGCAACAATACCAACCAATCAGAGCTCCCAGGGTCTAAACCACCAGCCTGGGAGCACATAGAGAGGGACCCATGGCTCCAGCTGTGTATGTAGGGGAGGATGGCCTTGTTGGGCATAGGTGGGAGAGGAGATCCTTGGTTCCATGAAGGCTGGATGTCCCAGTGTGGGGGAATTCGAGGGTGGGGAAGTGGGAGTTGGTGGGTGGGTGGTGGCACATCCTCATAAAAGCAGGAGGAGGGGGGATAGGATAGGGGGTTTATAAATGGGGGGAAGTGGGGTAAGGGGATAACATCTGAAGTGTAAATAAAATATCCAATAAAAATTTTAAAAACTAATAAATGTCAAGTTTAAAATAAAAAAAAAAAGAAATGTAGACAGCTGGGTCTTGGCTCTTGAGGTTTCAGAGTGGAGCAAGGACTCTTTGAGAAACTGGGTCAGAGGCCATTTGTGTGATACTTTGGCTTTATTCTGCCTGTGTTTTAAGAACCTAAGTCAAGACGAATTTAATGACAAAGGATTAAATTATTTGGCAGAGAAAATTTCAAGAGAGGAGGGTATTCAAGTTGGTGCTGAGAATACAGTTGTAATTGTTGAAGAGATCAGCACCACCTAAGAGAAAGAAACTCCCTATTCTATAATGGGACAACAGGAAAGGTGTGCTGAGGGCAAAGTCCTACTCTTTGGAGGCTCTGTCTTGTGAAGATCCAAAATCATTTAAAGACAGAACACCTATGCAGAAGAGATTCCCTGATCCTTCAAAGTGACTGCCTGGGAAAGTGTATTCTCAGAATTAGCACACAGAAGCTGTTGTCCTAGGGAGGAAAGCACTGCATCTCAAGCTGGGCAGCAGCATCCCTGTGGTACTGATTTTCCAGACACGAAAGATAAAGAATTGAGAGGCTCATCAGGTCTAGAGAGCAGCGGAGGCCGTCTCCGTAGGAACTAGAGAAGACTGCTGATAGAAACGTAGACAGTGGGATCTCGCTCTCTAGGTTTCAGACTGGAATAAGGACTTGATCAGAAACTGGACCAGGAGTAGTTAGTATGTTATTTTGGCTTTATTCTGCCTACGTTCTAAGTCTATGGATAAAGGAAGCTTTTGATCTCTGCCTGCTTGCACTAGCCTTGCTAGCAAGTCCATTCCTTCACTGGCATTAGAATCTACTTCTTCCGGATCCCAGCAGATACTGAAAGGCTGAGACATACAGCCTGATGGAATGAGCAAGTACTGGATTCTTGGACTTTCCATTCACAGCCATCCATTGCTAGGTTAGTTAGATCACAGCCTATGGCAGATTCAAAGGCTCAGCAAGAGAACTAATTTATAAACGTGTGGAGAAGAAGCAGAGTTTCCATGGAGACCCCGGGATAGTAGATATTCTAGACTCATGGGTTGGGTCATGAGCTCCTAGAACAGCTGTGGCCCAGGAGACTGGAGATGGTCCTAGAGCTGGAGAACTGGGACTACCACGCTATGTGGAGCCCAGGTGGCAGACAAGAAGCTTCAGGATTTGGTGTTTGTCATGCTGAATTTTGGCTTTGGTGTGATGTCATTGTTCATTGCTGTACCTTGAATCTACCATTTTGGAATGGGACTGTTTTCTTTTTCATGCCTTATGTTTTGTGTCTATAACTTGTTTTATTTGTAAGATCTTAAGAGTTAAGAATCTTTGAACCTCCAGTCTTGGAACTGTTGATGTCTTCCTTCAGAGACTTGATGTTGGGCTGAATTCATTTTATATTATAAGATGGTCATGACTATTAAGATGTCTTTTTTTTTTTTTTCTTTTTTTTGGTTTTTCGAGACAGGGTTTCTCCTTATAGCCCGGGCTGTCCTAGAACTCACTCTGTAGACCAGGCTGGCCTCGAACTCAGAAATCCGCCTGCCTCTGCCTCCCAAGTGCTGGGATTAAAGGCGTGCGCCACCACCGCCCGGCAAGGTGTCTTTTAAATGTCAAATTGTTACAAAGTAGGGTAATCCCATCTGACAGTCTGAACTAAATAAGTGTCCTGGTTGCCTTAATTGCTGAGGGCAGGTCCTCTCTGATTAGGGATGTGTGTACTGGCTGGTTTTGTGTCAACTTGACACAAGCTGGAGTTATCATAGAGAAAGGAGCTTCAGTTGAGGAAATGCCTCCATGAGATCCAGCTGTAAGGCATTTTCTCAATTAGTGATCAAAGGGGGAGGGCCCACTGCGGGTGGTGCCATCCCTGGGCTGGTAGTCTTGGGTTCTATTAGAAAGCAAGCTGAGCAAAGCACAGGAAGCAAGCCAGTAAGAAACATCCCTCCATTGCCTCTGCATCAGCTTCTGCTTCCTGACCTGCTTGAGTTACAGCCCTGACTTCCTTGGGTGATCAACAGCAATGTGGAAGGCGTAAGCTGAATAAACCCTTTCCTCCAGAATTTGCTTCTTGGACATGATGTTTGTGCAGGAATAGAAACCCTGACTAAGACAGGATGAAAAGTTCTGGTAACAACCTAGATAAGAAAGGAGTTAGCAGAAGGAAGAGATGATGGCTATTCTTGGTTGTCAACTTGACTACATCTGGAGTTAAGTAAAACCCCAAAATGGAGGGCTCACCTGTGGGTTATTTCTGCTTAAGATCTACTTCTAATTGGCTCTTTGAGGTAGGAAGACAAAGCATTAATCCAGGTCTTTAATCCAGATCTAATCTAGGCCACACCCTCTGCTGGCAGCTATGTAAGAACGTGGAAGAAGGAAGCTTTTGCTCTTTGTCTGCTTGCTCTCACCTTGCTAGCAAGGCCATACCTTCACTTCTATTAGAGCCCACTTCTTCCAGACTCCAGAACTTGTTTGTTTGCTTGTTTTTACTTTGTATATGTGTGGCTCATGTGCTGTAGCATGTGTGTGGAATTCAGAGGACCATTCACATTGGTCAGTTTTCTTCCCCATGTGGGCTCCAGTTCCAGGGATTGAACTCTCCTCTCTCTCTCTGTCTCGCTGTCTCTCTTTCTCTCTCTCTGTGTGTGTGTGTGTGTGTGTGTGTGTGTGTGTGTATGTGTGTCTGTCTGTCTGTCTGTCTGTCTTTCTCTGTCTTTCTCTCTCTCTATGTGTCTATCTTTGTCTCTGTCTCTCTGTCTGTCTCTGTGTATGTGTCTGTCTGCCTGTCTGTCTCTGACTCTGTCTCTCCTCCCTCCCTCCCTTCTTCCCTCCACCCACCCCCGCTTTTCTCTTGCTTATGCCTCATCTGTAATAGATACTAGGAGTGAACTTCCTATTATGGTGGAACATAAAACAATATTTGTCTCCTTAAGCACAAAATGTGATTCTTACCCAAAACATGAACTATGACTGGAAGCCCTCCTACAACCAAAAAAAAAAAAGAAAAGAAAAGAAGGGGGGGGCACATCCGACTGACTTATTGAAAAACCTCTGATTGTGGAGAGTTAAAAGGTTGCAGACCCCATTAGTATAATTTATCTTCTGCTTCCTTGACAGCTGCGTGTTGCCCACCTGTTTGTTTAAGCTAACACCCTGTTACTAATGGGTTAGATTCTTTTCAAAGGGAACCAGTGGACTTCGACCCAAAGGCTAAGAATGTTATCAGACAGCATCTGTGGCCTATCTAAGATACTTCTCTGCTTTACATAATCTGGCTATTTAATGTCCCCACCAATATATTTTTAAAATACCTTAATTTATGACTTTCTTTTTTTTCTTACTATAAAAAGTCCACAAAATTGTGACTTCCTTGGTTTTTGGGCCATGGCTACTTACATCTGGCTCCAGAGTAAACTATTATTCCCTTTGAGGTGATTGCTGAGTTTTTGTGTCAATTCCAAAATTTCATACTCTACAGACTACAAACGCTGCTGTTGCTGATGCTTTTACTTTTTCTCCTTTTCCCTTCCTCCTCCCCTTCTCCTCGATCCCTCCCCCAACTCTGCCTTCCATCTCTTCCTCTTCTTCAGTGTTTCCCCATGTATCCCAGACTGCCTTTGGCCTTGAATTTTCCTCTGCCCTGCAAGGACTGGAATTACACACACTACTGTAACCCTGGGGATAAGACCCAGGGCCTCGAGTATGCTAGCCAAGGACTCCACTGCTAAGCTGACCCCGTAACCCTCAGACATTTCAGAAATGGAGACATCATACCTTACGTTGCAGAGTTCTTGTTCTTGTTGGAGTTTTTCATGTTCTGAGTCTGCAAGCTTCTTATAGAGTCCACTGACTTCATTCTCCACCGCTTGAAGTTTCCCTCGAAGTACTTTGCAGTGACCATTTTTCAGTTGTATTAACCTTTTATATGAATGAATTGCATTCTGGATTTTTAATAGGCTACCAGAATCTGAATCAAGGACAGGGGAATATGGGAATAAAGTATGAGAGTGTTTTTTTATATGAGTGAATGTATGTTGTCCCATTCCTCCATTCAATACTGAACAGTTAGAAGGCAGGAAAGTTACTCTTGCATCCACATAGCACAATAAGATAGCTATGCTTAACATTAAGTATCTTAAAACAGCGAGTAGAGACAATTTTCAATGTTCTCACAGCAAAGAAATGACAAATATTTGAGGTTTTAGATCTATAAAAACTATGTCTTAGTAATTATACATACAGCGCACATGTACTGAAATGCTATGCTGAGCCCCATAAATACAAGTAAAAATACTTTCCTGTGTGTTAACTAAACTAAAATGCTATTTCACAAAGTGAATATTATTTTTCAAAATATCTGAAATACAAATAAAACTTCTACAATATAGAAATATCCACTAGATGAGATATATATGTGTATATATATCATACATATAATAATGCACAGAGATGTGGAAATTTTAATACATGAAAGTATAAAATGTTACCCATGAAAATAAATGTGAACTATTGCTTAGTAGTTAGAAGAGTTACAAAGATGTCAGTGCTCAACAGTCTCATTCTTAACAGGACCACAAACGATATCTTTAATTGGCAAGCTGATTTTAAATTTTGCATCTACATCAGTGGCTAGATACTTAATGAGTATATTCAAAAGCTTATGTTTAATCTTTACCACTACACAAAAGCAAACACAAGTAAAACAAATCTAACAAAAAATCATATGGAAATGCAAAAAAAGATTTAGACTATAAAAATTACCCTGAAAAAAAAAAAAACCCAGCAAGAACAGGGGTTGATTTAAAATATAACAGATATAGTGATCAAAACAGTGTGACACTAATATAAAGAAAGCCAAATAAATCAGTGAAGACCAACAGGGTCTACAGGAACAAATTGAACATTTGAAAAATTGGCTACTTTGTTAGGGCACAGTGAGCGCACTGCGGAGAAAGGATAGAATTCACAATATGTGGATCAAGAACAACTGCATGTCGGCAACCACTTGGCCCATATCCTACACTGCAAATAAACTCGAAATGGACCCAAAACTATAAGACTTCTAGACAAAGACTGGGCTAGATGAAGATTTATTATATATTATTCTGAATCAAGAATACATAACTGAACAAAACCGAAACTGGGTTTTATAAAAGTTGAAACTCTTACTCCATGTTACTAAGGTTAAAGGATGGAGATTAATGTGAGAATGCTTACCTATCATGTGAGGGTCCCTGAGTTCATTCTCCAGCATAAAAGAAAAGACAGTACTTAAGATAGTCTCAAGAGAATACATAGACAACCCTAAAACTGGAGTGAGGAAAGTCTATCAAAAAGTACAGCTGATAAAGAAATGGTATCTGGAATATATATATATATATATATATACATATATATATATATATATATATATATATATATATATATATATCAATGTTAAAAATCAAACAATCTTATTTTTATTTGGCAAAAAGCCTAGGGCTGGCAGTTTTCAAAGAAAACATACAAATGTAACTAAGCACACGGAGAAATGTTGAGCATTACTATTGATTTACGTTACATGTATTACAATACATGGAAAACTTAAAAACAGCTGACAGTATCTGTGCTTGTCAAGGAAGGGAATGAACATGGTCCAAGTATGGATGCAGTTTGTGATCTCATAAGTGACTGTGAAGTGGGAATGGAAGAGTATTGTAAGTGGTAGATTTGTTACTGTCTTGATGTGTTGACTAAACGAGTTTAACATATGCTGAAACTTTTCAAATGGTACACTTTGCACATGTGCATTCACTGTACTGGAAAAAAAAACCCTCAGTAAAACTATAGAAAACAAAAGGCCCCATTAAAAGAACAAATGTCTAAGGCAGAGGATGGACATACAGACAGGAAGTATGCATGAAAGTAGAGCAACAGCTGGTCTGAACATGATAGCAAGGTGTTAACACGATCGTATCTTAACTGTTAACAATACCCGATTAGGGTTGTGAAGTAGACTGTGGTCTCAAGAGATGGATGAGGTTAGCAGAGAATCAATTCTAAGGCGTTCCAAGGGATTCCAAATATATAAGTCAGAGACAAAGATAACCTGATCTAATCATAGTAAACGCTCAAGAGAGAGACAGTGGTTTTAAGAAGCCAGGGTGTGCCACCCACACTGAAGAAAATACAGTAGGAATAAAATGTCTGGCTAGTAATGTATGATTCTCTTTCTTCTTAAATGTATAGCATGTCTCCAATATGGCAGCACCAAGACGCGTCGGTGCTCTTAGGTGCTGTGATAAGCAGTGTGTAGAGCTCCTGCTGATCTCTATTCACAGTAGACTTACCTTTGCATTCCAGGCTAAGACGTTTAATTAACTTCAATATAGCATCATAATTAGGGCAGGAAGACCTGCCGTATTCTGAGGCTGTTTCAGATGACTGAGTTAAGTCACCAGAATCTTCCATAGCAGGCAGATTTTCTTTTTGTCCTTTAAAATAAGTCATACCAATTCAAAGTGTACTTTAATATTTTTTACCACATGCTATCCAAACAGAAGAGGCAAATGGCAATCATTTTATATAATTGGAGCTATGAGGATTTCTGAAAAGAACTGATGTTTCATCAGAAGGAAAGTATCCATGGACCAATGTTACTCAGTTTTATTATAAAAGTTAAATGACTTCACATAACAGAATCTGTATTTTCACCTTATCTTTTATAATGTACCTTTTAATATTACTGTATTAGTATATATTAGTGGTACAAAATAAAAGGGTTCATTATGACATCCCATACATGCTTATATATTTTGATCATATCCATCTACTTTATACTTTTAAAAATGATTTATGCATTCATGTATTTTACATATACAAGTGCTCACTCTTCATGCAGACCAGAAGAAATTAGATCCCATTACAGATGGCTGTGTGCTACCTCGTGGTTGCTCAGGACCTCTGGAAGAACAGTCAAGTGATCTCACCATGAGCCAGCTCTCCAACCCCCACTCTATACCCCTTTATCCCCTCTCCCATTTCCTCTTTCCTTTCCACATCCCTGGAAACTTCTGTTTATTTTTAAAATGTGTCATTTTGCATCTTATAATGTTTTAATGAAATATGATTTTGCTTATTTTTATAGCAGCTTACATCTCTGCCCTTAGTGTCACTCCTTGGGATTCCAAACCATAAAGTCCTTCTAAGACAGATAATAAATCTGAAAACCACAGAAGAGTGTCTGTACCTGTTGTCATCTGTGCATAAAATAATCACATTTTTTATTTATCAGGTTCATAAAGCTTACAAATACAAGTCATTTCATACAAAAGTGATTTTGTTATTTGTCCCAGAGATAACAAACTATTAAAAAACAATGCCACAGTGACATACTTGTCATGGAAAGGGACATTAAGGGACAAAAGCTATGATTACTAATAATATAACAATTAAATTTAGATCAAACTTCAGTCTAAGCAAGAGGAAAACAGTTACTGTGTTAAATAAACATACACCAGGTATTGTTATTGCCACTTTTTATAAAATAAGTTTTTATGAGAATTAAACTTAATTTGGAAAAATATTACTCAAATCCTTATTTAGGGGAAACCTTTTTTAATTGATAGGCATTAGCTTCCTTGGGACCTACTATGTAATTACTATGTGTTATTCTAAGCACTGGGCATGTGTTGAATTCATTTCAGTCCTCACAGAATTGTGAGGTACGTTACACATTAGTTATATTATGTTATATATCCCTGTCAATCAATGTAAAAAAATAATAATTTAAAAAAAAAGCCTGAATCACTTACCCAAGCCATTCAGCTGATCAGTGGCTAAACTCAGAAATCGCCACCCAGTGATTCTGATTCCACAGCATGTGTTGTGAATGTAGTATCTCCAGTTGTGTTTAAATATTATACTGGCAGATGAATCCATATTATCACTCATATCTTATTAAAATAGATAACTTCTGAATCTTGTAAATATTTGTGTATGTGTTGTGCACACACGTGTGTGTATATGCATCTTTCACCTGTATGTAGCCTAGTCACATAAAGCCACCACATTAAGCCGGGAACCCGACCTAGCTCCCGGGGAAGAGCAACAAGTGCTGTTAACCACCATACCGTTCTCTAGCCCCTTTAATTATTTTTAAATTTTACGTGTGTATGTGTGCCACATGCATGCTTGGTGGCCGGGGGAGATCATAAGAGGGCATTGTGTCCACTCGAACTGGAGTTACAGGAAGTTGCAAACTGACATGAGAATGCTGGGAACCACTCCCCGCCCCCGGGTCTCATGTGCTCCTAACTGGTAACCTTACTGCACCTGCTACCTTTTTTGAAAAGTCAGTTTCTTGAACTGAGAGTGCACCATTTGTCTGGCTTTAGTCCTGGGAATCCTCCTGCCTATGTCTTCTAATGTTGGGCTTTTATGAGTCCTGTGGACACAATCTCAGGTCTAATGTTGGCAAGCACTTTGCCCACTGAGTAATATCCTCACCCCCAAATCTTGAAAATATTTTGAAAAATAAAATGACAATAAACATAGGTAATCTGTGGAAGCTCACTGTTTTTCCCCCAAAGGAAATTCCTCAATTGACATGTATTTAGCTGCTGACTCACGAATCTACAAACACGCATCGTACAAGCTAAGTTAGCGATGCTGTCGGTGCTTTGGATCTCATGGTCTATGATTGACTATACTTTACCTTTTGTAAACAACCGTCCCTTTCCCTGGAATCTAAACAATGGTTCAACTGATACACTTAGATTTTGGAGTAACTTGCAAAATCACAACTTTGGATTCAGATCAGCGAACTTAACAAGTTTTTCTAAGATCGTACGTATATCAGCCCTTATTTCTCACCTCTTCACCGAAAATACAAAACCTCACAGTGGTCCATGTCCTCTTTCCAGGAGGGTTCAACCGTCCTGTGGTGGCCTCGTGGGGATTATGGCTAGGCGCAGAGGCCTCTGGGAGTCCTGAGCAGCACCTGGTCTGTGGTCTTTGGTAGTTGTTGCACTCTGTGTTGCAAGAGGATCAAAGGTAGCAAGTTTGTTAAAAATTCTTCAGTATTTTTCTTGTTAGTACAAATATTTACTGCATGGGAATATTATTTCTATATTTACTTGAGCATTGTGGATAAATTGTTGAATTTTTAAAAAAGTACCAAGTGGCATGCTTATCTCTTTGCTAGTTTCTTAATGTGATTTTTAACAAATACAATATAATTGAAATAATTCCGTATATTAGCAGATTATAATGGTAGCAATCTAAAAATCAGCAAAAAAAGAATACAGAAACGTAAAAACAAGGAACTGGAACAATATACATTCTGAATAAACAGTAGGTCTTAAAGAAAGCAGGGAGAAAGTTTTTTTTTTTTAATTCTAGAATTAAATGAGAAAGAAAACAGAAGTAGATACAGAAAAGTCAGTTCTACGTGAAAAGCTCATAGCTATGTTCACCCATATGGAAAAAAAATCAAAGGAATCTCTAGTAACTTAAAATACCTCCAGGTCTTAGAAACACAAGACAACCCTTAAAAGGTGAAAGGAAGAGAGTCGGGTGTTTAGGACTAGCCTCTTCTTGATTACATGGTGATTTTAAAGCTAACCTGACCAGCATGAGAGGCTGTAGGGAAAGCAACAGTAAGACAAAAGGAGCGTAAGGAAAACAAAACAAAACAAAAGTAGTAGAAAGAAAGTAGTGAAGATTAGGGCAGAGATGAAGGAAGTGGAGGTGGAGAGAACAGTATCAAAGCGTCAATGAAACATAGTTTCTGTTCTTTGACGCAAACAAGATGGAGAAATGCTTTATCTAACAAACCAAAGGAGAGAAAAAAGATCTGTTAATAAAATTAGATGTGGAAACATTGACTCCACAATAGATACTAATGAAATCCAGAGTTTTGTTTTTATTTGTTTGTTTGTTTGGTTTTTTTATTTTGTTTTCTTTTTAGCTTGATATAAGCTAGAGTTGTTTGAGAAGAGAGAATTGAGAAAAAGCCTTCAAAAGATAGGTCTGTAATAAAACTTGTGGTGCATTTTCTTAAATAGTGATTGATGTGGGCTCATGGGGGCTGGTGCTAGTCAAGGGGTTGTGATCCTGGATTGTGTAAGAAAGCAGACGGAGCAAGCCAGTAAGCAGTGTTCCTTCATGGCCTCTGCATTAGCTCCAGCCTGGAGGTGCCTGCCTTAACTTACTGTCCTGACTTCCCTGAAAGATGGACTACAAGATAAAAGTTGAAATAAGCCCCCTTCTCCCAAGTTGTTTTGTGTCATGACATTTTATCAGAGCAATAAACACTGAGACATTTAGTCTCTTTAAAATATATAATATCTCTAAAATGCAAAAATCTCTCTTCTGTGATACAAAATGTATTAGTGCTATATAGTAAATTGTTTCCTTCATTAAATTTATTCTGATTTTGATTATTATAGTTACTCTTAATTGAAAGCATTTTTCATATGTGTTTTGATCAGTTTCCCTTCCCTAGTTCCTCCCAGATCATCTTTCTACACACCCAACTTCATGTTCCTTTTCTCTCTATTTAAAACAAACAGAACCAAGAAACACATACATAGAGAAAGCCACAAACAGAAATCAAAACAAACAAGAGAAAGACCAGAAAAATAACAACAAAAGCCCAAAAAAAGCTCTATGAGGCAAAAAAAAGTTGACAGAAGTACTGTTGAGTTTATTTTTGATGGCCAACTACTCTTGAGCATGGGGTCTACCAAAAAAGTGTGACTAATACATCCAGTGAGAATTCATTGGAGAAAACTGATTTATTTTTTCCTCACAAGTACATATCTATTGCTTATAGTTTCTTGAGTAGGAGTGGGAGCCTATGTCTGCTTCCTTCTCTCACTGCTGGGATTTCATCTCGTGGGCTGCTACAATCTTTTCAAATATATATATATGACACACATAATGCTGTGTGTGTGTGTGTGTGTATCATGTTATATCTGTAAGACACTGTTTTTTAAGAACCATCACCTCTTGCCTACAGATAATTGGATAGAGGCGTTTTTCTCAATTGAGGTTCTTCTTCCCAGATAACTCTAGCTTATGTCAAGTAAAAAAAAAAAAAAAAAACAAAACTGTTATAGGGTCTGCGTAAATCCAGCCTAACTCAAACAAACAGTAGGTCAATGCAGATGACAAAAATTTATTGTAATCAAGCCACTACTGATTGATTAAGGCTGCCGAATAGACTGCAACACTGAGCCAGAATTTCACAGAATATTTGAGCTTAAGATATAATAAAAATCTGTGCCAAGTTATTGTTACATTTTTTCTACCAATCAGGATAAGAGTTGATTCCTGAGCCTGGGAATATGAACTTAGTTTAACCCTACCAGCAAGATGGAGTTGCCTTTGAGATGGCTGGACTCAGACAACTGTCTCCTTACACGTTGTCCCTGCGATAGCTGGTCTCAGGCAACTCTGTTTCTAAA